CTGTCTAGATTTGCCATAGCTTTCCTCCCCAGGAGCAAGCGTCTTTTAATTTCTTGGCTGCAGTCCCCATCTGAGGTGATCTTGGAGCCCAGAAAAATAAAATCTGTCACTACCTCCATTTCTTCCCCATCTATTTGCCAGGAATTGAGAGGGCCGGATGCCATGATTTTGGTTTTCTTAATGTTGAGTTTCAAGCCAACTTTTGCACTCTCCTTCTTTACCCGCATCAAGAGGCTCTTTAGTTCCTCTTCACTTTTTGCCATTAGAGTGGTATCATCTGCATATCTTAGGTTGTTGATATTGCTCCCGGCAATCTTAATTCCAACTTTTGTTTCATCTAGCCCTGCCTTTCTCATGATGTGCTCTGCATATAAGTTAAATAGGCAGGGTGACAGTATACAGCCTTGCCGGACTCCTTTTCCAATTTTGAACCCATCAGTGGTTCCATGTCCAGTTCTCACTGTTGCTTCTTGACCCACATATAGGTTTCTCTTCGAAATCCTGCCTGTACTTCTGGTAGTTCTCGATCTACATACTGCTGGAGTCTAGCTTGTAGGATTTTAAGCATAACTTTACTAGCATGTGAAATGAGTGCAATGGTGCGATAGTTTGAACATTCTTTGGCATTGTCTTTCTTTGGAATTGGAATGTAAACTGACCTTTTCCAATCCTGTGGCCACTGTTGAGTTTTCCAAATTTGCTGGCAAATTGAGTGTAGCAATTTTACTGCATCGTCTTTTAAGATTTTGAATAGCTCAGCTGGAATACTGTCACCTCCACTAGCTTTGTTGTTGCTCAGATTTTCTAAGGCCCATTTCACTTCACATTCTAGGATGTCTGGTTCGAGGTCAGTGACCATCTCATTGTGGTTATCTGGGATGTTAAGCTCATTCTTGTATAGTTCTTCTGTGTAGTTTTGCCATCTCTTCTTAATCTCTTCTGCCTCTGTTAGGTCCCTGCCATTTTGGTCCTTTATCATGCCCATCTTTGCATAAAACGTTCCCTTCATATCTCCAATTTTCTTGAAGAGATCTCTGGTCCTCCCTATTCTGTTGTTTTCTTCTATTTCTTTGCACTGTTCATTTAAGAAGGCATTCTTATCTCTTCTAGCTATTCTCTGGAATTCTGCATTCAATTGGGTGTATCTTTCTCTTTCTCTTTGCCTTTCGCTTCCCTTCTTTCCTCAGCTATTTGCAAAGCTTCCTCAGAAAGCCATTTTGCTTTCTTGCATTTCTTTTTCTTTGGGATGGTTTTAGTTGCTACCTCTTGTACAATGTTGCGAACTTCCATCCATAGTTCTTCAGGTACTCTGTCTATCAGATCTAATTCCTTAAATCTATTTGTCACCTCTACTATATATTCATCAGGAATATGATTTAGTTCATACCTGAGTGGCCTAGTGCTTTTCCCTACTTTTTTCAATTTAAGCCTAAATTTTGCAACGAGAAGCTCATGATCTGAGCCACAGTCTGCTCCTGGTCTTGTTTTTACTGTCTGTATAGAGCTTCTCCATCTTTGGCTGCAGAGCACATAGTCAATCTGATTTCTATGTTGACCGTCTGGTGATGTCCATGTGTAGAGCTGTCTCTTGGGTTGTTGGAAAAGAGTGTTTGTTATGACCATCGTATTCTCTTGACAAAATTCTATCAGCCTGTGCCCTGCTTCATTTTGTACTCCAAGGCCAAACTTGCCTGTTATTCCGGTTATCTTTTGGCTTCCTACCTCAGCATTCCAATCCCCCATGATGATAAGGACATCATTTTTTAATTTAATTCTATAAGGTGCTGCAGGGCTTCTAGAACCGGTCTATTTCATCCTCTTCAGCACTAGTGGTTGGGGCATAGATTTGGATTATTGTGATATTGAATGGTTTGCCTTGGATTCGAATTGAGATCATTCTGTCATTTTGGGGATTGTATCCCAGTATTGCTTTTCCTGTTCTTTTATCGACTATGAAGGCTACTCCATTTCTTCTGAGGGATTCTTGCCCACAGTAGTATTTACACCTGATGGTCATCTGAGTTAAATTCACCCATTCCTGTCCATTTTAGTTCGCTGATTCCTAAGATGTCGATGGTCATTCTTGTCATCTCTTTTTTGACTACGTCTAGCTTGCCTTGATTCATGGATCTTACATTCCAGGTTCCTATGGAGAAAAAATCTTTACAGCATCGGACTTTCCTTTCACCACCAGATATATCCACAGCTGAGCGTCCTTTCGGCTTTGGCCCAGTCGCTTAATTCTTTCTGGCGCTACTAGTACTAGCCCTCTGCTCTTCCCCAGTAGCATATTGGACACCTTCCGACCTGAGGGGCTCATCTTCCAGCGTCATATCTTTTTGCCTTTTAGTACTGTCCATGGGGTTTTCATGGCAAGGATACTGGAGTGGTTTGCCATTTCCTTCTCCAGTGGATCACATTTTGTCAGAACTCTCTGCTATGACCTGTCTGTCTTGGGTGGCCCTGCACGGCATAGCTTATAGCTTCATTGAGTTACGCAAGCTCTTCGCCACGACAAGGCAGTAATCCATAAAGGGGAAGGTTAAAATAGATATGTTATTATTTCTGGTAACCCTTAATGAACTTTTGCTAACACAAGGATTGAAATGACAATGCTTTAAGTTTATTTATAGATAAGAGATACAGATAGTTCTAACATAACCACAGTTGAGTTTGGAATTTGAGCTCTAATTTATGGTGGTAATTAAGTAAGGGGGCCCATATGACTGCCTCACTCAATGACTACGATTTTGTCTTTCCCATCTGTAACTTTGTAAATCATTAAGCAGAGCATGGGATGCCTCGGGGTGGTGTCTGAGGTTGGTTATTTTCTTACAGACATTTCATTACACAACTAAATAACATTATTGCTGGTAGGGAAATCATTCTCACCAATACTAACAAATTAACCTCTAGTATATAAAATGAGAGCAAGTCCCATTCCCTTCTAGGACCGATGATCCTATCTAGTTTGGTAATGAAATGTCTGCAAGAAAACACCCCAGCTGCTTTCTGAGCACCAAAAACACCGCAGTTCAATCTGAACTATAAATATCCTTTTCTATCAATCCTACACGCATAATTCCACATAAAATTAATGAAATCAGTTCAGCTTACTGAACTAATAAACGCTGCTTGATTAATATTTTGGGTTTCAAAACACATTCACAGTTCATTGCAAAGACAATAAGTTAAGGATGTAGGGGTCTTTTGCATATTAGTAGGCTGCACTCCTTTTTTTCTTGTTCCTTTCTCCTATCCCTATTGAATACTAATTTCAACATTAAATTGTGGGTCATAAATAAAAAGTTATTTGGGGTAATTGACAGTAGTTTTGCCCAATCAAACACAAATATATCTTTGATTTTAGGATCCAGCAAAAGAATCAGGAGGATTAATCTGCCTTCTAATTATTCCAACATTGAGGGATAAAGACACTGTTTTCCATTATTTTTTAATCAGGCTTTTGAATAAAAAGTAATACACAGAGAGTGTTTTTCCTCTTAGGAAACAATGGCATATAAATTTGCCTCTTAAATTTGTAGTTCAATTCAAGAATTTTTTAAAAAATATTTTTCATGACTGTACATCAAGGGTCTTCAAACTTGGCCCTTTTATGACTTATGTACTTCAACTCAGCCTGGCTGAGGAATTCTGGGAGTTGAAGTTCACAAGTCATAAAAGGGCCAGGTTTGGAGACCCCTGATGTACACTCCTTAAAGCTGTGATAGTCCTCTTTCACCAAGAGGAGGGACCCGCATTGAGTGGTGAAAGAGGAAGGGGACACGTGCCTAGCCAGCCAGATCAGCTGAATCAGCCTTGGTAATCAAAGGGGTAACAGATGTCTCAGCCAAGATCGCCCTCTCATTTTTCATTCCAATATTAGGTCTTTGTACAAGATCAGGAATGTCTATGCCAGTGATGGCGAACCTTTTAGAGACCGAGTGCCCAAACTGCAACCCGAGACCCACTTATGAATCGTCAGGTGCCGGGTGGGTGTGGCCCATTGGCTGGGTGTGGCCAATTGGAGGGTGTGGCCCATTGGCTGGGCATGGCTGTGGTGGTAACGGCAGACTGGGTGGGACTAAAAAGTTCAATCAATCAATTCCAACTTTGCAAGATCTTTTTTTTCCTGTGAGAAGTTGAAATTGACTGATTGATTGAATCTTTTTTTTTTTTTTTTTGCACACGGCAGCGGAGGCCTAAAGCTAAAAGGTTTTATAAAACCCATTTGAAGGCCTAGGACTGGGGCGACGGCGCACGTGCCCACGGAGAGGCTCTGAGTGCCGCTTCTGGCACCCGTGCCATAGGTTCGCCACCACTGGTCTATGCCATGAAACAATACTCTTTGTTAGAAAAAAAGAAACAATCTGAAATCAGTATTAAACAACCATTTTGCTTCCACGGTTTAGAACAGGGGTCTTCATACCTGGCTCTTTTATGACTTGTGGACTTCAACTCCCAGAATTCCTCAGCCAGCATAATTTAGAGAATTATCTACAAACACTGTTTATATTTTTATCCTGATTCATATATGATGTCTTAGCAAATAGTTGACTCTACTTGAATAAAGTTGTCTTTAGGAGTGTTCCGTAAAGTTCCAGTTAAGTTGCTGTAGACATATACAAATAAATAAATAAAATGTGAGCCACATCCAGTATCAGTAAAATACAATGGTTATAAAGTTTTTCTTTATTTTGTCTCCTCTGATACTAGTGTACTCAATCTCACATATATCCCAAACCTTTTTTCAAGGAATTCTTAAGGTAACATGCAGAGCAAATTTCTTATTTCTCTAGCAAATATAATTTTGTGAACAGAAATACTTGCTATAGTTGAAGCTATTTTGTAAAAAGGCAGTTTTGAGTTTTTCATAGGCAATAACAGTAATTCTCTCATACTTATATTCAAGTATCCCATATAACTTATCTGCAGGGTGTGTATTAGGTTCATGCAGATTTTTTTTTCCCTGTAATTATTTTATACTCTTTGTTTTTTAGGGGAGTTGGTTGCATTTTTGTGGAAATGATTCAAGGAGTTGCTGCTTTTCCAGGAATGAAAGATATTCAGGATCAGCTTGAAAGAATATTTCTGGTAAGTTCCTCTAACCCTTTTAGTGAGTTTTAATTTTGTTACCGCCCTGCTCTTATCCATAAAAAAAATGAAAACTAGAAATTGTTTTAGATTATTAGTTCTTTTGAACTAATACAGTGCAATATATATTTGTATATCATATGATAGATTAACTAAAATGATCTGCTTCAATTATAAAATCATTAATTACTAAGGAGAATTTTTCCCCTTTTCTAATGAAAAACTTACCATTTGTAGATTGTGATTCTGTAGGAGTTTCCTTATATTTAGAAAAGTAATTCTTATTTTGAACATTATAATTTTGGGATTGGTGGTTCACATCTGTATCATTTTTCTTTTGCACTGGCCATGTGGAATGTAAATGTTCTATTTTATATTCTATTCATTTTTTCAAGGAATTTTATTAAAATATTTTGTAGTATAAATAGAAATGAAAATAAAAATCAGAAAAAGAGGAAAGAGGGCATAGGAGCAAAAGAAGAAAAAAGCAATGATTTCCAACTCTTTTAAGTACGACACAAATACAGGTACAGTCTCAGCTTTTTGCTTTGCATTTCAGGTAATAACAAGATATTTCTATAGCTGCAAAATTAAACCAATCCTTAACCTAAGTTTCATTAATTTATTCTCTATGGAGCATAAATTCCAAATGGAAGAAAACTAAAGGAATTCCTCTGTTTTTTTATATCAGTTGGCTTTGCCATCTCCACCAAGTCTATTGTTTTATTCCATCTACCTTTCTATTGTGAGAAATAAGATCCCTTTCCATTTGTTGACTTCCTCTTTTGTAATTTGATATTCACCTTGTTTATTAAATCAAACCTGGCTTTCCCACTGTTTTATATTCTTTGACTCCCTCTTGTGGTCGAAGAGCAAATCTTTAAGTGGCAGACCTACAAGTATGAAATTTGTATATCTTAACCAGTCAGATTCAGTTAAGGTTGGAAGCTTTTACTCTTTCACAACAAGCACCTCAGAGTTATGAGTTTTAAATCCTATTATCAAATGAGCATGGCAGATTCATAGAGAAAGGCAAAATTGTGCCTTAAAAATTTAAATTACTATGTTTCTCAGAGACAGATTATAAAAATAAAATTATTCCAAGCTTCCTTATTTTAGCTTATTATTGGTGTCCCTCCCCCTCAATTAACATTCATGATGTTTCTAAAATGGCACAGCTGTGAATAGCACAGTATAACCTCTATCTACTTGATGAAATAGAAAAATGTGGGTTAGATAACATCATCATCAGATGGATTTGTAGCTGGCTGACCGGCCATGCTCAGTGTGTGATCCCCAATAGAACTGCATCTACATGGAGGGAAATGTGTAGTGGGGGACTCTAAGGCTCTGTTCTGGGCCCAGTGCTCTTCAACAATTCATAAATGTTTTGGATGAGGGAATAGATGGGGAACTCATCAAATTTGCAGACAACACCATGCTGGCAGGAATAGCCAGCACTCCAGAAGATAGATATAAGACACAGAAGGATCTTGACAGACTTAAACATTGGGCGCTATCAAACAAAATGAAATTCAATGGTGAAAAAAGTAAGCGTCTATATTTAGGCAAGAAAAACTAAATGCACAGGTACATTATAGGTAGTACCTTGCTCAATAGTAGTAACTGTGAGAGGGATCTCAGGATCCTAGAAATCTGAACCAGCAGTATGCTGCAGCTGCCAAAAAAGCCAACATACTGCTGGGCTGCATTAACACAGACAGAGAATCAACATCACATGAAGTGAATACTGCATCCAGTTTTAATCACCATGATGTAAAAAAAGATGTTGAGTCTCTAGAAAGAGCACAGAGAAGAGCAACAAAGATGACTAGGAGGCTATAACATATAAGGAACAGTTGCTGGAATTGTGCATGTCTAGTATAAGGAAGACAAGGACTAGGGGTGACATGGTAGCAGTATTCCAATATCTCAGGGGTTGCCACAAAGAAGAGGGACTCAAAGCACCTGAAGGCAGGACAAGAAGCAACGGATGGAAGCTAATCAAGGAGAGAAACAACCTAGAACTAAGGAGAAACTTCCTGACAGTTGGAACAATTAACCAGTGGAACAACCTGCCTCCAGAAGCTATGAATGCCCTAACACTGGAAGTTTTTAAGAAGAGACTGGACAGCCATTTGTCTGAAATGGTATAGGGTTTCCTGCCTGAGCAGGGGGTTGGACTAGATGACCTCCAAGGTCCCTTCCAAATAACAACAACAATAATAATAATTAATAATAATAATAATCTTTTGCATCAATAAAGGTAAATAATCAAAATAAGATGATTAAGATATAGAAGGCATGGCCTATTGTTTGTTTTTTAAAAAAGAAATACTTTGTAAAAAAAATAGTTTGAATTTTTTTCCACTGCAACAAGCTGCTAGTTCTGCCTCCTAGCTGATGACTCATCAGCCAACTCTCACAAACTACTGTTGTGTAGACGATTATGGAGGCTGATTTCTAGGACTCTTCCTGTCTCTGGTGAGTTCTTCAGCTGAAAAAAATGAGCCCTGGAGATCTTCGCCAAGGAGTATTCAGTTGGCCATATTGTACTGGAAGTCCATATTCTATTCTTTTTTTAATTAGCATTAAAAATTAGCATTCTGGTAGTTAGCATTCTGTTTTGAATTTGAACTTAACTAGATGCCCATCAAATGATTTATTTCTGACTTCCTTTACTCCGAGAGAACAAAATATTTTCAAAATACAAAATCTGCAAAGTATAGCGTTATATAAAATGATATTACAGCTTTCAAAGGAAGACTTTCATTATGTCATTCATTGGAGGAAGCTGTATAACTAACCATTTAAACCCTCATATATAACAGTTGCATAGGTCTTTAGAGATTAATTGAGCCACCTAATTTCTGAGGATTCTGTAGAATTTTTCCAACTGTTAGACTTTTTCTGCTGATATCTTGGTCACCTCCTGAAATAAGATGCAGTTTAAGCAATGAATACAAATACTATTAAGCATGTTTTTCCTTGGTCTTTCCTGACACAGAACTCATAAGACTTGGAATGTAGGCAGAGTAACCCTGGGTATTAATGGTGGCTTAATCACATTTAAAATGCTTACAGAAGAATTAAACTAGTATAGGTAATAGTAAGACTTTTTAAAAATAAGCATTTTTTTTAGATTGCTGGTTTTTCTTTATTTTTATACTTATAAAATAATTTGTATTCTAACTGTACCCAAAACTTTGGGACAGCTAATAATACAATATAAAATTATAATCTAACAAATTATAAAATAATATCATAAAATCTCATAATATAAAATATATTTCACTTCTCAAACAACAGTAAATAATTAAAAATACCTAAATGAGTTACTATCCCAATATTGTTTGACAGCTTTTGTCGAATATTAATAGGAAGGAATCATCCTAAACTTAAGATTTAAGATCTTTAAACTTTTATAGCAGTGTTTCTTAATTTTCTTTTAGGACCACTTCCACTTTTAAAAATTAAGTAGGATTCCAAAAGAGCTTTTGTTTATATGAATTATATTGATCAATATTTACCATATTAAAAATTTACTCATTGCAGCTGCTACCACTTTGTGGTATTATATTATTTTTCAATTATTTGGCAAATAATTTTTATTTCATGAACTCCCAAGACTACCACATCTCCGCAGGTTATCTTGGCCATCCTGTGCAAGATGGGCACATCCTACTTGAGCAGACACAGTTGAATACAATCAAAATGCAAGACATAAAATATTTTATTAGGTAATTACTAGGAGCTTGAATTGGATAGAAAAGTAAACTGGAAATCAGTGCCATTACCTGTTTTAATAACTCTCAGTCAATAGATAAAAAGGTGTTTTTAGAATTAGCTGTAACTCTGAATCATCTTCAAGGATAGTTCCATAAAAATTAAATTCAGGGCTTCCAGTTCCGGTTTTCGACGCTGGCGGACACGTAGAGAGATTTCTCTCCCTGCTGTCCGGTTTTTCTCCTTAGGAAGACCCTGGAAATGGTCAAAAGTCACCCTGGAGGGGCAACCACCGTTGGGGGGTCTCTTGCTGGATCGCAGGGGGGTGGCAGCCTCTCCGTCTGATCTGCAGTAACTCCTCAGGACCGAAGAGGAAAAGAACAGCCACTAACATGGCCCCTCACTTAGTTGAGCCAGCTGAAAGCCCAAAGCACCAACTAAGCATGAAGAAGCAACTGGAGGAGTTGGGTGAGACCCTATTTTTCCTTTTTTCCCTCCCAACTACTTTCCTGTAAAATTTTTTGAAATACCCCTTTCCCCCAGCTGAATTTCGCAGCTTTTTCTCACTTCGGGAATATAAAGCCAAGAAAAAAAAAAGGAACAACAAGATTAAATGACTACTTACCTGTACTTGTAATATCCAGATACCTGGGCTCCCTAAAAGCTCTGTATCTCGACAAAAACTTACTGTTTATTTTTTATTTTTATTTTTTTTTGTTAACCTGGGGAAAAAAACCTGGAATGTTCTTTGTTTCCTCTCTTGAACCGGAGAAAAGCCCTATTCTATATGTTACTGGGTTCATCTAGTGGTGAAAACCTGCTACAACAAGTGGAATAAGTTCTCACTGGGAGATTTCTGAGAATAATTGTGCTTGACAGCAACCAAAAGATTAGAACTTGAAACAGCTGTGTGGTGAAAATAGTGCTTTATAGTGGAGGTGGAGAGTTATTGACTTTTATTAAAAATAGCCTCTACTAAGACTGTTTACATTACAGAAATGGAGGAATACCACCCACAGCTTAATGTCAAACTTATACTTGAAAAAATTCTAGAGGCTACTGAACTAACAAAGTCTACAATGAAAGACTTACATGCCACTTTAAAGCTACAAACCCCATTAGAGGAACCCACACTTCAAACAGCAATAGAAGAAGGAACTAATAATAAAATGGAAGGATGTCAGGAACAATTTACCCAGACCTTTAATATTCAAAACTCGACTTTATTAAAAGACTTGACAACTACAACAGTAACAGAAACTGATCAAAGCAAT